TTACTTTGTAAATCTCCCTTGATATAAGCCGTCACTATCATGGCAATGTTTTGTGTAACACGAGTTTTGATGAAGAGGAAAACGGCCGAATTAATACAGCAGTTATGTTTCATTTTTATTCATACAAAATTATTTATTTTCACTGCATTGAAATTGAAATTGGATGAGTGTTTTGAAATAGCACAAATTATTTCGCAAAAAATGCAAAATATCATGTTTTTTTGCAAGGTGGAAAGAGTTTAACGAAAAAAGAAACACAACTAAATGGAAATTCTTTTAGGTTTTTATTTGCGTGCGATTATGAAAATGTGTCTGAAAAATCCCTGACAGTCGCATTTCAGACTGTGAATGATAGTCATTCAATCTCGATGCGAGGCAATTTGATTGAAATTATCATAAATTAAATGTGTGCACAATTAAAAAAAAAAAGATTATCGAGTCAACCAGAAATGAGAAAAATAGCAATCAAAACAGCATTATTTATGCATCTGCACACTCAGAATTGGAGGCAATTCATCGATATATTTCCACTGATTGCATTTTCTGCAAATTCAATATTTCATTTTTATGCTATTTTACATCGACTTGTGCCTCCAAAATGATCAAAAGTCAAAATCGCCATTTTCAGCGGAGCGAATTCAAAGTTTAGCGTTAAAAAAGCTGCAAAATTTGTCAAATTGACTTTAACACCCTTAAAACGCTTTCAAATCATTCGTTGAAGTGCAAATATTGCTTTGTATTTATTATTTTGTAAATATTTTAGTTGATTTTATTGGTATTTTTTGAAATTCTTGACTAAAATATGGCAAAATTCAGAGGAATTCTGAAAATATTACTTTCTTAAATCGATTTTTAATAGTCTTCGAGTAGATTTTATCCCAACAAGTTCTAAAAGATATTAGAAATATTTATTCGAAGTCTGAAAAATATTTTAGAATAATTCTGAAAATCTTAAATTTTTTTTCAAAAGGCGTTTCATACGTTTTCCAGCATTTTTTGAGACATTTTTCATGGAAAAATTGTACAGCGTAAACAATAAATATTCGACTTTTCATTCGCAAAACATGACAATTTAATCAATAAGTGCTTTTTAGATAAATAAGAATTTTTTGCTATTGTTTTGATAAAAGTTTTTCAAAAATACATAAGATGAAAACTCTGATAAATCGACTTGTCATAGTTTCCGATTCACCCGTCGAAATGCACTTCGTCTTCCCATTCTCGAAAATAACAAATAAAAAAAGCACACAATCAATGAATGAAAAATCACATAATTTCGCTTAAAAGAGCGCTGAGACTCGCACCTCCCGCGCAAAAGTGTGTTGGAGGGAAAAGGAAAGGTGCAATATATGTGGGGCTTAAGCACTGCATTCTTCTCCGCATTTTAATTCACTTCTGCGAAGAAAACGCCAGTGCAGGTGTGTGCGATAATATGCGGAAAATGTTTCAACTTACTGTTACGGTTTGAGATGCATATAATGGATTTTGCCGTCTGATAAAGCGAAAATGCAAAGTAAATACGTAATCAGGGGAAGTGTATGTGCATCGCGGTGCGGATAATGGTGAGAGTTGCATGCGACCATTCTATTGCGATACATTATATCTCTTTTTTTTCTCCATTAATTTCGTGCATGTTTTGTTGTCTACCCTTTTTTTCTCTCTTTCTCTCTCTGCACAACCTTCTTCTTCTTCTTCTCTTCATCTTTTTTTCATTAGCCAGATTCTTCTCCCTCCCTCGCGAAACACTTTGTGCAAAGTTGCGAGAGTAAAATCAGTCGTGGAGACTTAATATTTATATTTACTACCTAAATACACGAGACACACTTCCTGACCCAATAAATTATTCATTGTGATTTTAACACAGCATAATCCCTTCCACTCAAGATATCACAGCTAATGCAACTCTTCGCATTTCTGTATATAAGAAATGCTTTATAAAATTATCTTAATCGAGAAGTGTGTTTTAGGAATGATTCCACCATCAATAGTATAATCAATTAAGATAAGTCCCCACACTCGTTTGCCAAGTTGGTGACGAACAAGGGGCAGATATTATGCTCCGAAGTGGTGTACAACTTTGTGAAAGTGTTAGGAATTGAAAGAGTTAAAATATTTCTTAGAAAAACCAATTTCATTGCTTTTCTAGGTTATTTGATTGATTTAAAACCGCTTCTGACATTCAAAAACTTTCAAAATCAACAAATTTGTGTTTGAACTTAAATTGTTAGTTAAACTACAGTCAATCATAACATCAAAAATACAATTTCAATCGATAAGAAAGAGTTTTGTTTGGTTATTTCCGCGGTTTAAGCTTAAAAGTGGAATATTTAGCGTCATTATCTTGTGGAAACATTATGTTAATCGCTAATTTATTCATTTCCACGTTTGAAAAGATTAAAAATAAGATTTTTCATAACCTCACAATTTAGCCAGAAGACAATAACCGCAAAAAGAAATACACAAATATTAAAAAATCAGTTCTTATGATGCCAAATGTAAGAATTTGAATGTTGTCAAATGACTTGAAAGACGTTTTCAAAGTGTCTGAAGTAGTTGTACATATTTAAGACACATTATCTCCCCCTTGCTGATGAAGAAAAAGCCGACTGCTTGTCAAGAGAGCATTATATTGCACTTTATTTCGCCATCTCGAAAAAGCCCCGCACGGGTTTTTCGTATTTGCTTAATTTTATTGCTTGCCATTTTGCTGTAGACAAAATTTTCCTCACCTCTAATTCACATTTTACAATGTGTGAATATTAAATATATAAATACCTGGATCTCTGTATGGAGATTAAAACATATTTATAGCTGTTGACACTCCTCTTTCTCTTTCACATGGCTGGACAATGTGGCCATATCGATACGCTTAGCATTATTTCGGCGTGAAAAGAAATCGTGCGACAAGCTTTGAAGAGTTAATGATATTTTAACCAGATGCGAGTGACAAAAAATGATCTCATTCAGACTATAATCCGTAAATTTATTTATCAGCAAACGGCAAATCGCCCAAGACATCGGACGCATTTATAGGCGTTTTTGTAATACTATTTGGATTATGTTTTCTTCTTCTCATTTTTTTTCTTCTCCACGCCATTCGGGAAATCTTGTCACAAATGCCATCATATTCATCTCCAGCCAGCGATCTACTTCATCACCCAGAGACACTCATTCAGAGGAGATCAGCACGGCAAGAACGATGCCATTAAGAGATTTAGTGGGAGACATGTGAATAAATTAGAGGAAAAAACGGAAAGATTTCATGTCGCGCCCGAAACTTTCAATGCTTAAGCATTTACGCACAGATTTTATGGACTCTCTCGCCCAGTTTGTGAATATTCCGTCGATGGTAATCCACATGGATGAAATATTTATTATGCTAGTTGATTGTGTGTGAAATGTGATTGTTAAATAATTTATACTCTCCGCTTAGGCACAATAAACAATTTATCGAGTGTCGATTTGATTGGTAATCACTTGAGTGACAGGCGCTAATAATAACGGAAGTCGAGTCGCGATGCTTCTACCCTAATTCGTTGAAATTGCCGTTGTCACCAGACACCATATCAATAATTTGTCATCCTTAATTGGATCAACACTTTCTCACATTGAATATCACCTTTGAATCGCCTCGGCATCATTTATCGTCGAAGCAAAACTTCTCCGATATTTCAATAGTGTAATAATAATAATTCCATCTCGGCGAAAACCCCCTCAAAAGCCTCGCTCTGTGTGTTGCGAAAAAACCAGAATTAAGGCAGCTGTTTTGCTGGTTGCGTGCGCTTGTATTTGTGTTAATATATTAAGAAGACAGAAAATAAAGAAAGAAAAAAAAAACTCAACCAGACTAAATAAATAATGTAACAAGTTAATGGCATTTTTGCGCTACACTTCCCAACTATAGGCGCAAACGCACACGAGGGGCGAGATCACTGGGTGAAATAATAAAACTTTAAATGCGTTTTAAATAAAGTGACGAATTTGATAAGTCAAGACGTTAATCACTTAATCAGCTTAGCGCATTGTTGATTCCGTCGTTTTTCCTTCTTTCTCTCTCTCTCTCTCTCTCTCTCTCTCTATCTTCTGGCTTGAATTTGTGCAAGAGAGGAGCCTTTTGCACTCTTCAGTCTCTTTCTCTTTTCCGATCGACAACCCAGATTCTCTCACAGAGATGAAAATGACTCAGGATCTTGAGCCTGTCTCTTGAAGACCACAGACATTGAGACAATTTAAAACGTCCGGCGATGAAAGAGAAACTCAAAGACGCCCAATTGAAAGGGAACAACCCCTGCTGAGGTACAAAATGCTGCGATCACAACTGCAGATTTCGCGATTTAATCTTTAACCCTTCGCCCAGTTTTCACACAATACATTCAACATTTTGTACTTTCTCATTTCCATCCCGAAAACCTTCAAAAATATGCATAAATAAATTGCATTCGTTGATAATAAGTTTAGATATTGATTGAAATGTAATTTTTGGTGCTAAAAATTCAATATTTCCTTCAACTTTCGAGACATTCACCTTAAGACAAAATATGATCCGAATTTTATGATCTATCAAATGGTGTTGAAATCATGGCGATATCTCAAATCGGGGCCGAGATATTGAAAAACGCAGAGAGATTTCCGCATAAGGATAGCGATAATTAAGACAAAGCCTATTTTGCTCTAAATCCGTGTTATAGTCATAATACTAGCTGAAAAAATTCAAAATTGTCACAAAGATTTTTACTGTCAATGTGACACTTAAAACAGAAGCTCATTTTTCATCCTTTTGCAAAGATTGAGCTGCAAAGATTGAAATTTACAAACGCGAAGGAGGAAACTCGACTAAATCGTAGAAATTTCATATAATTTTTCAAATATCTTCATTATTATTTTCTGTGCAGATTCTAAATTGTCCCATGAATTAGTTGAATGATCGACAGGTCATTTCTCAGGACCTCAGTTGGAGTGACAAGAGGACAAAAGAGACGATCTTATTGTGCCAAACTCACCGTTGCTGCAGACGCTGTGGTTGTCGAGCGGTCCGCTGGAGTCGCTGTCGCTGTCGTCGGCAGGATGATGAAGATGTCGACTTCCGGGCGTGACGCTGAGGTCCCGCGGCCCGGGACTGGGCGAGCGGCCGTCCTCACTGCCGTCGCGGCCTCCGGCGCCGGAATGGTGCAGCGGATGGTGGTGCAGAGCCGCCGCGGCCGCCGCGCCGCCTCCGCCGCTGCCCGCGAGAATGTCCGTGATCATGAAGCGGGATCGTGGGGGCTGCAGCACGGCCATGGAGCCACGCTGCACTGGGACCGTCATGTCAGCCCCCGCAATGTCCGATATGCCACTAATATTGGTTGCTGGGAATGGGCTTCCGCCCGACGTTAACCACTGCAGCACGATTTTGACGCAGTTGCTCTGCCACTCGGGAAGGAAAGTGTCACCCTTGTCACAACTTGTCACCGGGATTCCTGGACTCGGGCGCTCGCTCTTGTCTCTTGTCTCTGGCCACCGACACCGGATTATTGCGCGATTGGGTGGGCAGAATGGGTAGAGTTACGCTCTCATTTATCACTTGAGTTATTACCTATATTTTCCTCCTTATTGTGTTTTGGTTTATTATTTACTTGGAAATTTATTGAATTGGTGCTTTTACTTTCCTCACAGGCAATGTGTTAAATTATGTCCGCATTTTCTACTGCATTCGCGTTTTTTTTTCTCTCTCTTTTTCCCTCTGTATTTACTTTATTATATTTCCATTATGTGTGCTATTGGTGTTTATTGTTTTAAATTTCGCCTAATCGCCAGCGATTAAGGCGATCGCGACGCGTTCACTGCAACTATGTTGGCTGGCTTCACTCGGGCTGCACGGCTTCACTGGGCCGATGACTTTTATGAAGTGTGTTTGTAATGCTATGTTTGCCTTTTACGTAATTTTCCACCAATTGCATCAGATGCACTTTGAAAAATTATTTAATTTTCGCTTTTAAAACACTAATTAGCTCGTTAATTCCATCAAAACACCAACTTCTTATTCGAAGTCACTGGCTTGTGTCCGGTTCACGGGCTCCGCCGCGTCTTCACTGCTTCGGCAGTCTCTGAGAGGACGAATGTTTTCCCCTTTTTTTTTCTTCTGCAAAACTGTCCAGCGCGAAAAATCACTCGGCTGATCAACACACACCAAAAAAATGCGGCGATTATGATGGAGTGTCTCACTTTAGCGCGTCAGGTGCGAACGCCAGGAACTACAGAGACATGATCTCACGCAGAGAGTTGGACCAACACTGAACACCATACCACCACTCTGGCGTGCAAGAGCCACTTTCCACCGCCAGTCAGCGCTGGCTCACGGTGTTCTCCCTTTTCACAGTTCACACACTCCGTGGCTCCTCCTCCAGACGCCCAGCCAATCGCCTCCGGCGCTGCGGGGAAGCTTTCGTGGCCACGAGGAGAAGCTGGAGTGCGAGCTTTGTGGGAAAAAGCGGAAAACAATTATCCGCGTAAGTGACGGAAGTTGCTCTCCCATCGCCCCGTCTCACCTGACGCCGCGAGAGCGACGGAGAGCGTGTGAGGTGTGCGCGTCCCTCCCTTCCCACGATGCCCAGGTAATTGGTGACAATTAGCCCTCGAGTGTTCCCAGTCACTGATTCCCGGGAACACTTTCTCACGGCGGCATCGATTCTGGTCGCCATATCGATTTGCTGGTCTCTGTGCATCTGGAAGGATGCTCACAGCTCTCTCCCGCCACTGGCCGCGCTCAGTGTGGGAAACTCCGCCTCTGCCCAGAGCGCCGGATCGCCGGGGAAAATTGCGCAAAAACTGTGGGATGTTGCCAGGCCGCGTGCACGTGTGTGTGTGCTAACAGCGAGTCACTCGGGGAAAAAGTATTCTAAGTGGTGCTTTTAAAACACTTTATGTTTGATTTATTTTTCCCCTGCATGGCAGTGAGAAGGGCAATTTCCTCGATTTGTTGTCTCATTCGCAACTCTCTTGTACATAATACACTTTTTCTCCTCATCAGCCGATGTCTTTTTCGCGTGTTTCACCCAGCAATTCCCGATCGTCGCTCTCGCTCTCTCGAGCTCGCATTTTATTGCCATTGTGCGACACGTCATAATCTGGAGGGAAGGCAGTTTTCAATACAATTGACTCATCCGTTGAGTTCAAATTCAAACATTTTGACATTCCGAAATGTCACGGATCAACAACACACTTCATGCGAGATATTGTGTCAACGGCAACAATACCTTCTTGCTGGAGCAGAAATTGGTCTTGCGAGTCAAAGAAAACATGTTTTGAGATTTAATTACTCAATTTACGTTCACTTAATTTGATTTTAACTAATTTCGCGGGTATTTTTCCTGTTATTAGTGCGCGTATTTTTCTTCACAACACAACAAAGCCATATTCGCGGACAATTTCCAAATCCATAAACATGGGCACTCTAAAGCTCCCCAAATTTGCCTCTCCAGTTGACAAATCAGCGTAATTGTCGGTGACTGTAACAGCGCGATTTCCCTTCTTTTTCCGCTGCCTGGTGTCTGCATGTGGCCATTAATAAATTTAATTTATTTAATTTTGTAATAGATACAATGTCCATTTCACCGCTCTTTCCCCGGAATCTCATCTCTTTTCCCCTCTCTCTCTCTCTCTCTCACATTGGGACGCCATTAATTCAAATGTCATGCAAACCACGAAATCAGTTGCGCGTTAATTATGTTATTATATCGGATCCGCCGCAGAGATTTGTCGACCACAGGCGAAGTGGGTGTTGGTCACGCTGCCGTAATGAGCAATTTGACTAGCATTTTACTTATTTACAGCCCACATTGGATGGGTCGCATTGTGGGGCTCTTTTTGCCATTCTGATTGCCCTAATTAACGTGAAAAAGTGTTTTTTTTTCTTTCTTTAGGAGCCAGACGAGAACTTTCCAAGCGACCCGCGGGCAATTTACACGAAAATTTATTTTAATTTCAAAATTGCGATCTTCTAGTGTATTTGTTCTCCGGCATTCGTAGGCTTATTTGTCAAGATGCCTTCCACACGGTCGCCAAGTTTAATTGCGAGCAATAAATGTGTTTGCAAGAGGGATTTGAAGGAGTTGGACATAAAGGTAATTTTTCGCGCTTCGTCTACCTAGATAAATGGTATGGAGACACCGTTTTTGTTTTATATCACCTCTTCTATAGCTATTTATTTGGACGGTAATCAAACAATAAAAGAAACGAGTAATTATGTCCGCAATCATACCACTTTTTTAAGTAATTTGGTTGCGCTATTTTCGCAGAAAAAAACTATATAATAAAGTTTTGTGTCACCGCAAAAATATGATCATATAATATGGAGAGAATTAATTCAATTAGGCAACGAGAACTACAAATTAGATGGATGTGATTTTTCATCTTTTTCCTCTTCTAACAGCATTTGTGTGTGTGTGTGTTGCGGAGAAGTTATTGGTATGCAAATGAGAAGCTCTCATTCACTATGCAGGATATTCGCACTGGAAAAAATTTCCATCCTAAGTTTTTTTTTTCATGTGAGCTTTATATTTTCACTGAGCGCGCGATAATGGAATATTTCATTTATTGAATCACATGAGCTGCAGGCTTAATTAAGGTGAAGCGCGGCATACAAAAAAAAACTCACTTTCAATAATAAATTTCAATTAACTTTTCGGGAAATTAGCATTGCATATATATGTACATATGGCAAAAATGATCTGAGTGTCCAAACATATTAATTTACTTTAAATGAGCACGTAATCAAATAAGAGAAAATTGATGTCGAGAGATATTTATTTAATAGCATCAGATGCAAAAATTTTTATTTTCATGCACACTCTTTTTTTTTGCCCAGCTCTTCCCCGGGCATTTTTGCATTAAGGGAGATTCTCTTATGCTGTCTGCATGTTGCACAAATCCAATTGCAGTCTACACACATTTTTCTATTAAAAATTCACAGTTTGTATATTATTCGATTTTAAAATGCATGTGCATTTCAATTCGTTTGCATTTTATGTGTTTGAAATCTCTGTCGCTTCGCCGCCACCCACAAAATCCGCCCCGTCGCTCTGCACACGATGTGCGCCATGAGATGAAAGCTCCCCGTCTCTCAAGAGAAAAGCTCAGTGCGTTTGTAGATTCACGAAAATTCCAGCGCGACAAAGGATATGATGTGAATTATAAATATATTGTCACTTCGACACCGACGACAAGTTCTTCTTAATCCACGCGTCTTATTGTCTCCTTTCCGCTGAAGAGAAGCAAGGAAGTAAATGTGTGTTTCTCCGTTGCAAACTTACTGACTGAGGAGAGAAAGACAATTCCAGTGAAGCGTATGTTTCAGTTAGAACATTTGAAATGCCTCCATTATTAATCTTTTGCGACGCCAAGTAAAGGGGATAAATTTGAAGCAGTATTTTGCTCAAATTCAAACCGTGAATCCTTGAATCAAGGAGAAAATAATGTGCCTAAAATCTGCACACCACAATTTGTATGAAGAATCCTCAACACTTCCCAGGACTTCAGATTTCATGGATTGTTTAAAATAAGACTAAAATCAACAAATAACTGGAATCTAACTGAAATATAACTATAATATGACTGAAAACTAACTGAAATCTAATTAACAACTTTAAAACTCACGTTTTCATGCCATATTTTATGGTTTTCTTCCGTAAAAATTGCATTTTTGTGTATTTTTCTTGTTCATAATCCTCTAAATAGATTTCCTTTTCTTTTGAAAAATTGAAATTATATTTCACTTAAGTATTGTTTTCTAAAATCACAATTTTCATTGAGCGAAAATATGCAATTCTACCAAAAGAGTGAAGATACTTTCAATTCAGGCAAAAGAATTTCTTCTTTTAAACGCTATTTAGTCTAAAATCAGTTAAATATCCTAGAAAAATATGTCAAAATTGAGGCTTACCTTGAATTACTAACAAATTGAGCTGCATAACGTCGTGATTATTGGATTATTACTCATATAGAGGCAATAAAGGTGTATTAGATATTTACCCCTTAGTTTTCAACCCTTTTATGTTGAGCCGGGAATTAAACATTGCCCGGACTGATGTGAACTAACACTTCTGTTCGATTTTATACAAAGTGTCAATTTGGAAAATTGCTGTTGGGAGAGTCATTTCGCGTCAAACAACTCTTGGAGCTCATCTTCTGTCACACTCTTTGTGCCAAACTGACTGCTCTCGTGCAAAGAGTGGCATAGTGAGGGTGTTTTTGAAGAGCCACCCCCTCACAGAAACATCCCTCGAAAGCGAGACGCTTTTATGTTTATATAAAATTCCACTTTAGCAAAATGAGATGCAAACAAATATCATCAACACAATTTCTGGGGGCGTCAGAGCGTGGTGTCACATTTTATTAGGCAACCGAAGTGAGCATCTTAACATGGGTTGGTGGGTGGCAAATTGCCACTGAGATGTGCTTTTTCCCGACGCCACCCCAGCGCCCACGCTTCCGCTCCCATCGCCAAATGGGAATGCATTAATTCAGATCAACTTCTATCTCTTTCTGCGAGTGGCAAAGAGGGCAAAAAAAACAGGATCAAGGCGATGCTGCCTTGGATAGAGAAAATTCCCACTCTCTCTCTCTCTCACATCCTGGGATGGAGAAGAGCTGCCGGAATATGAGCCAAAATGCTGCAAAATTAAGTGAGAAATGCAACACTTTCGTGTTGTCGGTTAATTTCAGACTTTCAATTTGTCTCTCTGCAAGTGCATCGCAACGGGAAAACTTTGTGAATTCCCAACTATATATGCTCCACATTAGAATTTCGGCATAAATTTTTGACTCGACAGCTCTTTGCCCAGACTTAGCATGCGAGTCGCTAGTATACATAAATCACTTTCATTTGAATAATGTAAACGGCTTTCAAGTGGTTCAGTTGATAAAAGTATAACCATTAATTCCCTTTTTTCACCCTCATTTCCTGCGTGTAAAATCCTTGCATCGAATTTCCCAGCCTCGAGATTGCACATACGTTTTGTTTGTCGATAAAAATCAGCCGATTGGAATCTCAAAATAAAAGTGGATTACAGCCAATGAGGAGAGCTGCAAAGTTGCTGCAATGGTGAAAAGTACAAAATGCGTGACACATGTGAAATTTTTATGAATATTTAATAAGGATTGAGTTTCGGGCAGAAACACACATGCTGCAAATGGGCTTCTTCCACTCATTTCCGAAAATGAAATCGATTTGTTGGCCATATTTGTCGCGACAGACAAAAAGTGCGCGGTGCGCCAGCAATTGAAGAAAAAGTTCTCACA